GCCAGACAGGGAGAGGCTGGGACCATGCCCCGTGTTGCTGTGGCCCACATGGCGCGAGCTTGGGCCGGCCGGCGCGGCTCGGCACCCTCCCCTGCACGATGCAAACTCTCCTCCAGTTTTGTGACCGGACCGGACAGGGGACCCACCCTGAACACCAGGCCTGTCCAGCAAACGGCCGGCCGGGTGGCTGCAGGGGGAGTGGGTAGGCTGGGGAGGGCAAAGCACCCGTCAGCAGCAGTCAAGCACCAGTGCGTTGAGCTGGCCGTTCTTAGCCCCGGCAGCAGCCGGTGGAGGGCTCCACTCCAGATGCTGGGGACAGTGCTGGAGGAAGAGACTCGGCCAAGCAGGGACTCCCTGCTGCAGGTGCCATGGCTGGATCTTGCCCGGAACGGGGGGCTGAGCCCAACGGGTCAGCCAGGAGGGCAGTTTTCATGCATGGGGTAGGCACAGGCTGTAAGCTCAGGAGCCGCGGGTGAGGGTTATTGGCCAGGCGGGCAGTCCCAGGCAGCGGGCACAGACTGTGGTTCGGCCTGGTGCAGTTGTGCAGCGGGCATGGTCTGCGCCAGGCTCAGGGCTACCAGCCTGGCGCTCACCCATCAGCGGGAAATTCACTTTAAAATGACTGAAATGAACAGCAGAAAATCCACGGGGGCTCTAATCCCCCCCCCCAGCCCTCCGATTGGCCTAATCCCCCGCCTCAAGCCCTCGAGGACGTCACGGAGCTGTGTCTGCCCTCACAGGTGCGGGGGGAGGCGATTTAGGACGTAACACACGGTCTGAGCATGGGACAGCTGTCTGGGGCCAGCGCATTAGCCACCAGAAGCCCTGCTTTGTAGATCCCCATTGTAGAGAGGGAGCCGAAACCCTCTTGGGGCGGCACCTGTCTATCTCTGAGGAGACATATGGGGAGAGGAGAGCTGCTCCCTCTTTGTGTGATGGACGTGCCGGCTGTGCCCCAGGGGGCAGAGTCGGGGGCTCGGATGGGGAGACGTCTCTTCTTCTCTCCCCGCTGGTCTCCAGGATGGCTCACGATGGCTTATCAGCAGAGACCTGGGCTTCTGCCCTGCCCGGGTGCGTGACTCTCACTCATGTCAGTGGGCGCGTCCCCGCAGTGGGCGTTGGCCCAGCCACTCGAGCGAAACAAGTCACTCAATGAAGTAGCAGGCTCTCAGCTGGTCCCTAGAGGGGGACAGGGCTCTGCTCACTCAGCCACCGCTGTCCTGCTCTTGCAGCAAACGTCCTCTCTTCCTAAACGCCCTGTTCCTGCAGCCAGAGGATTTCAGTGGCGCCAAGGCCCCCGTGTTTCCCCCGTAACGTTGGCGTGCACCACGCCCTGCCAAGGAGCGACACGTAGAACTCTGCCCCGGATAGTCTGGTCTGCCCCCATATCGCCCCAGACGCCCTTTCACGATGGGCGCGTGAATGGATCCTCAAGCGTCTGTAAAGCAAGAGGGTGAATGGGGCAGAGCAAATAGTCAAGGGAGCATGTGTGTTTTACAAAATTATGTGCACTAGGCTCTTGTTTGGGATACTCTCTCCAAAGGTTTTCCTAAGGGGGCCCTTCACCCTGGGACTGGAGAGCCTTCTGCCAGAAGCAAACGTACGAGTCTCTGTCTTCCAGCTTTGTGGGATGGACCAAGCTTAAATCCAAGATTGCCGTGAGGGCAGGAGACTGGACTTGAGCTCTCAAGGTCCCTTCCAGTTCTAGTGTTCTAGGATTGCTGATGCATGCTTGCGGGAATGTTCATGTCTCCCTTCACCCTCGTCCCTCCAAAAGACTGTACCCCCAAAAGTGTTGACACCCCCCAAAAAAGAAGTGCCAGAGACCCCGCAAAATCCACTAGGGACTTGGCTATTGATTTTACATGGAAGGCGCCCAGCTGCTGTGGGGATGGGCAATGCTAGAAAGCCAGAGGATCGATGAGTCAAAGAAATGGGTTTGCACGTAGTTGTGAACACGAGGACTGGCTGCCCGCATTTGCCACCATACGTCCTCCCTCTTTCGCCACCAGCTTGATTGCCCCAGCCGAGTGAAGCCATCATGTGCTCTCTTCGCTGCAGATAGTTGGGACCTCCATCTTGGGCAGGCCTCTTGTCACGGAAGAGCCAGCCCAGGGAAAGACAAACTGAGGCAACCTAGACTGCCATGTGAGTGAGCAGGCCAGCTGTTGGATTCCAAAGGCCCCGGTCCCCCCCCATGGTTCTGAACACCCCTCCGGAGCACAAGCCAAAATAGCATTTAGTTGACAAGAGCGCCACTGAAGGACAGGGTTCAGATGATGTTCCCTCTGCCGGCTGGCAGTTGCACAGCAAAACATCGTAAGGTCAGGCCTTGAGGGTAAAAACTTTTAAAAAAATCTCTCCGCTGAGACAGTTATTTGCAGAACGTTCCCTGACAGCTTGTGATGTAGATCAGATTTTGGCCCTAAGCTTCTTGACAGCTTTCCTTTCTTTTAGGGGTATTTATACAGCACCATATCTCGTTACCCTCATTTATACTCTGTGCAGGGCTGTCATGTCTGACTGTCATGGAACAGGTCAGGGTGCTTTACAAAGAGAAAACCTAGGGCCAGTGACTCCTCTGTAGGTCAACTTTCATTTTATTATGATGGTCAGGGACAGAGATCTCTACCACCAAGTTAAATGTGACAGCCGCATATGCGTGGGTGTTTGTGTACACACACGTTTATGCTATTCTGAGAACAGAAACCCTTTAAAGCCACACTCCAGCTTTAGTGCATCCTGGCTGCAGATTTTACCAGAGTTTCATTTCCTACCAGAGCTGGAAAGGGAAATCAGTGAACAGATTGCAATAAAAAAAAACCCTCATAACAACCCTAAATGCAGCCAACTCAGCCTTCAACTGTGATTTAGCTGTGAGCCAATCAAAAGCTTCCAGCTTGATCCCATTTCCACTTACCAAAAAACACCCCCCACCCCCTTAATTGCAATTACTTGGTTGGCGTAGCAGCGTGGCAGTTCACTGGGAAAAGCTGTTGGGACCGATTTGAAAGCAGCATCGATGCTCATTACAAACAAACCTTTTGGCTGGTGAGCTTGCCGCGAGTTTTGGATGAAATGAATTAGCGAGGTGTCTGTTTAGTGAGGCTGGGAGAGAGATCTCCAGCACTTGGATCCCAAAAGACTCCCACGTTCTGCTAAAGGTTTTAGTCAAGGAGAGCGGCACGGTATAAACAAGAGAGACATGTTGGCTAAACAGCAATGGAAAACATGTTTTTATTCCTCCTTCAGCCTCTGGGTTGTTGGTTTGCTTTTTTTATTTTTCCCCTCCAATACATTCAGCTGCTTCTAGAGCACTAAATTCGTCTTGTAAATGTCACAGCAAGGTTTCTGGATGTAAGGTAGCTGTGATTCGCTGTATGAGACACATGCAAGGTCACACGCAGACCTGTCGTAAATTACATCAAGGCCTACTGCAAATAGCAACAGGAGACTGGAAAGGCAGAGAATAAGGCTGGGGGGAGACCAATATATAACATTGTGACAGGTCAAACAACTCCTGGAGTGTTCACTTGTCATAGAAATATTTTCACATCCAATCCATTAGGCAAATCGGATGTGAAAGCATTTCCTAGTTTCTTTTAAAAATATCAAGGAATAGTTTAAAAAAAAAAAAGGCTAAAAAAATAGTGTGACCAGCTATGGTTGCTTTTTCTAGTGGTATGCCAGTCTGCTAGCTATTCAGAGTGCAGAGGGAAATATATACTCAACTTTTGAGAAAACTTTGATTGCTAAGGTCTCTCCTTTGCCTGGAGTAGTGTCGCAGGAAGAGATAAATTCCAGTTGTTTCACCAAAAAGAGTCAAATTTGGTTTTATTTTAAAGTGTTTGAAACCAAACTATTTTCCGTTTTTCAAAAACATTTTTAATCGTTTTGATTATTCAAACTATTGGTGAAATTGCTAACCTTTTTGATATTTTCAGTAATACTTTTTTAAAGGGCATCTTTGAGGAAAAAAAGCCAACCCCATGAAAGTTCAATGCCAATTTTCTTAAAAAAATGTAGGATTTTCAGAGGAAGAAGACTACTGGTTTCAAAAATTGTGAGGCAGTCTACTAATACTTAATGTCTAATTCTTTGATGAGAAGAGGCAGAGATGAAATGTTGAAGGTATTCTATAAATAACAGTGTTCTTTACGAGCGAAGCCTTTTGGATTGTCTGAAAAATAAAGACCCAACACAACTCCAGACCCTTGGTTGAAAACAAAATATAACCTCAAAACACTCTTGTTGTTTCTACTAAATTTTTGTTTATTGACAAAGACATCTAAATTATACACTGAATTTTACAACATGACCAAATATTGCAAATACTCCTTCTGAGCAAATTCAAAAAAGGAACAAACTATAGAGCACGTATAGGTCAGATTGTACCTGAAATAAGACAGAATAGGACAGCATATCCTGTATGCTGGGGGAAGAAAATGCATTTTTGCATTTGTACGGAGCCAAGCACAATGTGGTGTGATCCTGAATGAGGCTAGCAGGTATTATTGTCGTACAAATATATTTAATGGTGGAAGCAAAGTGATCACTTGCAATTAGAAAGAATACAAATATCCCTAATGTGCAAAGAACAGAGTTAGAAAACGGGTAAAAGGAGAACTTAAGATGTTTCAATCCAGTGTTATCCCAGAACTATTGATGTTCTAGCTGGAGGCTGAAGCACTTTCCCCTTCTAGGAAACCAGACAGAGATAGCAGAAGACTCTAAACTATCAGACAAAAGCTTTAGCATGATCCAATGGCTGGTGCTTGAAGCTGGACAAATTCAAACAAGAAATAAGATACACGCTTTCAACAGGGAAGATAATTAATCATTGGTACAGCCTTCTAAGGTAGGTGGTGGTTTCTCTGTCACCTGGAGTCCTGAAATCAAGGTTTGATGTCATTCTAAGAGAGACAGTCTACTTCAACCACAAGTCATTGAGCCTGATGTAGAAATGACGAGGTGGGAATTCATGACCTGTATACAAAAGATCATCACGGTCTCTTCTGGCCTTGAAATCTAGGAAGCTACAAAATCTCTGACTAAGCTCCACCCATGTCAATGAGACAGATTGTTTCCATAGAAACATACTTAAAAGGGGAAAAAGCAGACAAGAGTCAGAAGGACAAACTCTAAACATCATAATTGGCATAAATTGAATGTGACCCTGGCGAGCGCAATAGAGGGTTTTTTTCCAGCGACAGCAGGTGTTCCGGATGGTTGTAACCAGTCTTATGCTTTGTGTTTGGACAGGTGGTGTGCAGGGAGTAGGAGAGCTTTGCTTAGCTGATCAGGACTGTAAATATGTTAAAAGAAGAGATGGCAGGTGAATTGTGTCTCAAGTACTTTTTAATTCCCATCCGGTGGGTGCATGGGGGCTTGTTTACCACAAAGGAAAGCTGATGGTCACGAGTATGGGATGGTCTCTATAGGGGCAGGGACATAAAACTCTTGTCGTCCCTTACACTCCCGCATTCTCTCCATTATTGCCTCAACGGCTGACTTTTGTCGGCTGGATTTGAGCAGGGGGCATTGTGAGTAGATGCCCGCACCAAAGGTGCAAGTATACCTCTCAACATGCAGGCGCGTCTAATGATCCATAAGCCAAGGACCAATCAAGTCAATGTCCTCCTCAAACTTGGGACTGTAGGAAAAAATTAAGTAGTACAATTTCCAAGTGCTTACGTGCTGGACTCCCAAAAAGAAGGAAAATCTTTTCAAATGCATGATCGACTGCTCCTTAGATGAAAAGAAACAAGTTTTGTGCTTGTTCAAGACGTGATCAAAGAGAAAGGAAAAGCCTCGCTCAAGGCTTTCTTAAAGCAGCAGGGAGCTACGGTCACAGTACATAGCAGTGTGGGGGTGTTATTAAAACTCTTGACATTTAGGGGTACGGAAGCATTTCAGAAACTCTACACTTACAATGCAGCAAAGGTGACTGATTTCAAGGCTGGGAGCCTGTATTCGAGAGCTTTGCATTTAACCACTTGAACAGCATCAAGTCGCTCTTTGTAAGAGAGCTGCGATTGTTTACAGCAGGTGGATGCGCTAACAAAGAGAAGGCGTCCTTTCAGACCCGTGCGATGCATTCCTCTCCGCGGCCCCTGGGAGCGTGGGCTGCAAAGAGTCCTGCAGTTCCGGATAAGGTACAGCTGCTGGAGAATTCCTGAGCAAACAGATCTGCCTCCTGGCGCCTTGCTCACCCTACACAAAGCTGGAACTACGTCCCTTTGCGTATTTAGCTTTCGCTTCGGAATTCACTTGGGCCCGTTTCATTCCCAGCCTTTGGTTTTTAAACCGGGGCTTGATCCCTTCAATCTCCTCGCCATTCTCCTTCCGGGTTTGGAGACAGATGGACTCCGGCTCTCCAGAAAGCAGGATCACCAGGGTACGGGCAGGGCAACCTTTTCCCACACTGTCCGCCAAGCTGTCTCCTAGCAACGAGAGGGCAGGGCTTTGCGGTGGTCATTCTTTGGCCTTTGTGCTCAGACTGTAAGCAGTGCTGCCAATCAGGACAGTGGATTGTTTTGAAACACGCTGTATGTTAGAAACTGGCTGGACTGAGAGCCACCAGCTGCTTTTTGCTCTGGACACAAGAGCTTTCAGGTGCCAATGACTCTGTCGGTGTGGGATGGATTTGAGCTGGGCCCCCATAGGTGAAGAGCAAGCATCCCTTGCTACCAGTTAGCACCCTCCCCCACACACCGATTTGCACTGACCAGGCTGGAGGATTTATACATACATGCTCCTCTCCCACTTCTAGGGAGGGTAGCTGCTGTTGCTGGGTAAGACAAAGGTCCTTTCCAGGGCTTTGGGGGCAGGGGATGACGTGAGAATTCCACCCACACTTGCTACGGAAACACCGGATTTGTCACTGGGGACTAGCTTTGAATGACAGCTGAGAATGACCGGGGGAGGGAGGGGGTCAGGGCGTGCTGTGATCATCTCGACTATACAGAAGCAGAAGCAAAACACAATCCCCCAGATCCACGGGAATCCTCTAACCTCACTCACAAGCTTACTCTTGTTTAAAAGCACGGTCTAATCAGAGACGTGTGGAGACAGTTAATACTATTTATACCAAGGGGTGGGGGGAAGTACAACTCCTTTATTGGGGAACATAACTGCACTAAAGAGCAGGTAAAGGCCCAGTTCCAGCCCCGGCTTTAACTGTTGTTCCCTTTAACAGCTGTCGCTGTGCACGGATGGAAAAAAACATTTGGTCGGAAAGCAGCACATTAGTGCTTCCAGGAGACAATTCAGCTTGCCCGGCTCCTCCATTTCCCTGCCGCTCGGAGGGTTATTTCTTCTTTGCAGTGACGTTTTTACAGACCCAGTTCATGCCGTCCTTCGGACCAAAGGTGAAGACAGAGAAAGGCAACAACGTTAGTCAAGAAAGGGAACGAGGGACTCTCCAACCCTAACAAGCCATTTTTCGGAAAAACACATCGTTTCTCGCTTCCTCCTCCTCCTCCCCTCCCCTCAACTGCTCCACGTAAATTGCAAGTGTGGCCCTGTGCAGGGACTCTTGGAGCAGCTCGGATTTGGTCAGAGAAGGGACTTAGTAAAAAGGGTTGAATTCTCACTCCATTGGTGTGTCTGAGGAAGTTCTGCTACAACGGACCATTACAATTCCCTCAGTCGTTCTGTACATCGATTTCAGAGGATGCTTGCTCTGTCGTTAGTGTGATGTTCAGAGTCAATAACCTGCCGGGCCACAGACTTCCTGTCTCTTTGTATCTCAGTGTACGATGGGGATCCGAGCCCTGCTCTGCCTCACAGGGGCCCGGAGAGGAGAAATACCGTAAAGACTATAAGGCACTCGGATGCAACTGTAATGGAGGCCATACCTTAACTAGACACAAAAAACAGGACTGTGTATCTCCTGGTTTTTGTTTCAGCTGCACCAGACTAACACGGCTACATTTCTACCACTTAACTAGACACATTTGCCCATCTATGCAGTGGGGAGCATAATACTTCTCTATCACGCCAGGCTGCTGGACTCCCTAAGTTACTGCCCACAAAGCCAGCTGGGATCTGTGAAGGGCCTGCATCGTTGGCCCTGCTTGTGCTGCTGTCCTAAAAGCCCTGTCGAGCGAGGAGCGTGTGAGCTGGATTCTCCTCGCCATGTGCACCCTCTTAACTCCCCACTCAAGTCCAAGTGCAGAGTGGTCAGTCAGCATGATGGATGATGCTCAGAGCAGGGAGTAGCCAGCTGGATGTTCAGGCCCTACGACTGAAAACTCATTTTTGGACTCGTCCACTGAGCAGATAGGATCTGGGGGCAGCAGAGGGAGGACAGGGAGCCCCAGAGTCACTTTGCTGGCTAACACTGCTCCTTTACATTCGTTAGACCTTAAAAATACTAGAGCAGCCTACTAGTGACTGCATTGCCCAGTGGCAGGGCTGTGGGGCATTTCCTGCTCTTTTCTGCCTCAGGCCAGCAGAGTGGGAGTAAGAGGGCAAGACCCTGATCTTCCCAAGCGTGATGTCAGAGAGAGATGGGTGAGGGCTTCTCTTTTAATGTACTGGACCAGCATCAGCTGGGACAGAGAAGCATCTGAGGTGACACAGAGCTCTTCTTCCAGAGGATCTCCGTCTGAAAACAGAAATGTACCCTGGTAGCTGTCTCACTGGTTTTCTAAACTGACCCTTGTTGCAGTTTTAAATTAAAAAACAACCACCCAGCGCTGCATCAATGTACCCTGGATGTGTACGTGCGCGCATGCGCACACACACACTCACTCTCTCTCTCTCCGGGAGGGTCGTTTTCTTTCTTTACCACTACCGCAGAGGTCCGTGTGCTCAATAACTTGCCACAAATCCTCTGCCCAAGTGGGAGAAGTGTAAAGTAGATTCATTGTCAGGCTCAGTAGCGTTGTTTCCCCGTCAGTAACAATGTACGACCTACGTGTAAGACACGTCCTGCTTTAAGCAGTCAGTCGAGAGGTTTAAAACGTGCCACGCTGGAGAGAGCATCTCAAGGTACACGATGCCGTAGGTCTACAATGGCGCTACAAGGAGAAAGGTGGGAGCCCTCGGCCAGGCTGTGTGCTTCAGGACGCGGCAGGATTGCCTGCCAAGGGGAAACAGCGCTCCCAGCCGGCTTTCGGCTTCCCCAGCCTCTGAAGCCATCGTCCCCTTTGCACACTTCATGGCACACCCACCAAGCAGCGCCCCTCATTCACTGTGAATGTGGGTTTATTTGCTGAACCAGAACAGCTGAGACAGCTTAAAATAATAAATATCAGCTGACCCCCTCTGCTATTCAGCCCAGTAATCCCATAAACAATACCGCCCCGCAAAACAACAAACCTGCATCCTATCTCCCGGCTAATCTGTCCAGAACCTGAATTTACGGTGATTACAACTCGGCCCAGTGCCGCGAGGGAGCTCAGGGAGGGGGAATCGGCCCCTTGAAGCAGTGATTACAACTCGGCCCGTTGCCGCGAGGGAGCTCAGGGAGGGGGAATCGGCCCCTTGAAGCAGGGGAGAGGGGAGGGTCATACAGCAGAGGGTAGGAAGGGATTTACCATGGCTGGGGGGGCTAAGCTGCAGCCACTGTAGAATGACAAAGCACTCAGAGAGGGTAGCTCCAAGAGCATTGGAAATACAAGCCTAGGCCACCTTAATGGATGAGGGTTACCGGGTAAGAGTTAACCAGTTCCTGGGAGCAGCCCTCCAACCTCGGCTCGCCACGGACAGAGGGCTGCTCCAGCCCCATGGAGCTGCTGGCTCCCAGCCCACGCTCAGAGTCGGCAGTCTCAGGGAGGGGGTGGGGAAGTGGCTGCGTGGGGAGGAGAGGGCTGCCAGCTCCCAGCCCATGAACCCACACAGGCTGGAAAGAAGCAGCCCTTCCCCTCCTCCGCCGCTTCTGCCCAACTCAAGCAGGCTGGGAGCCAGAAGTCCCCCTTCCCGCTGCTGCCTCCGCCCCTCCCCGAGACTGCCAACACCCAGCTTGTCCTGCCTAAGACACGGGGGCTGCTCCAGCCCGGCAGACTGTAACGCCCCCCCCCCATTTAATCAGTTAACTGATTAAACTTAACAGTTAACCGGTTAATTAATTAAAATGGGATTTTACATCCCCAGTAGATGTTTGATATAGAAGAAGCAATAATAATATAATTATCTGATCTGCAAGCATTCAAGATACCTTAAATGTTTCTAATGCAACTTGATTGTGCCTGGCATCCATGTCTCAGATAGTATCCCAGAATGCTTTGCAGAGAGGTAAATACGGTAGAACCTCACAGTTACAGACACCTGGGGAATGGAAGCTGTTCATAATGTTGTAATTCTGAACAAAACATTATGGTTGCTCTTTCAAAAGCTTACAACCGAACACTGGTTTGGGACCAGTTTTGTTCAGTAGCTTCATCAACGATTTAGATGATGGCATAGAGAATATGATTAAGTTTGCAGATGATACCAAGCTGGGAGGGGCTGCAGGTACTTTGGAGGACAGGGTCATAATTCAGAATGATTTGGTCAAACTGGAGAAATGGTCTGAGGTCAATAGGATGAAGTTTAATAAGGACAAATGCAAAGTACACCACTTAGGAAGGAACAATCCGTTTCATACATACATAATGGCAAGCGACTGTTTAGGAAGGAGTACTGCTGAAAAGGATTTAGGGGTCATTGTGAACCACAAGCTAAATAAGAGACAACAGTGTGACGCTGTTGCAAAAAAAAGCAAACATGATTCTGAAATGCATTAACAGGAGTGTTGTGAGCAAGACATGAGAAGTCATTCTTCCTCTCTACTCTTCACTGATTAGGTCTCATTTAGAGTATTGTGTCCAGTTCTGGGCACCATATTTCAAGAAAGATGTGGAGAAACTGGAAAAGGTCCAGAGAAGAGCAACAAAAATGATGTAAGGTCTAGAAAACATGAGCCATAAGGGAAGACTGAAAGAATTGGGCTTGTTTAGTTTAGAAAAGAGAAGACTGAGAGGGGATACGATAGCGGTTTTCAATTATCTAAAAGGATGTTACCAAGAGGAGGGAGAAAAATTGTTCTCCTTGGCCTCTGATGGTAGGACAAGAAGCAATGGGCTTAAACTGCAGCAAGGGAGGTTTAGGTTGGACATTAGGAAAAGCTTCCTGTCTGTCAGGGTGGCTAAACACTGGAATCAATTGCCGGGGGGGGAGGGGGGAGGAGTTGTGGAATCTCCATCACTGGAGATATTTAAGAGCAGGTTGGATAGATATCTATCAGGGATGGTGCTTGGTTCTGCCACGAGGGCAGGGGACTAGACTTGGTGATCTCTCAAGGTTACTTCCAGTTCTGGGTTCTATGACAGACGCACTACAGCTTTGAAATATTACTATGAAGAAGTACACTGCTTTCCCTTTATGCTTAACACTGTACTGTATTTACTTTTTTTTTCTTTGTCTCTACTGCTGCCTTATTGTGTACTTCTGGTTCCAAAAGAGGTGTGTGATTGACTGTTCAGTCCATAATTCTTGTGTTTGTAATGCTGAGGTTCTACTGTATCATGGAAGGGAAGAGAAAGATTTAGATATGGGACCAAAAAAATTCAGCCAACATTTGAAATGGTAAGGAGAGCTGCTAAGGTGGAGAAATCCAGGGAGGCTGTTACAGATGGGAGGCAGCATGGCTGGAGAAGGCTTTTGCACTAACAATGGAAAAGCAGGTGGGGGTGTGTGGAAGAAATGGGGGTATGAAAACAGAACCAAGTCCATGGAGGATTGAAAAACGAGAAGAGAGCTGGAATCAAATCCTTTGTGACCAAAAGTATCTCATTCCAAAATCCTTAGCATAACTGCAAATGCCAAAACACATTGCTTCAGAAGAGTGAAAAGTTAAAGACCCTTGTGACCAAATAACAAGGCACAAACAACTAACTTTGCCCTCTTCTAAAGCAGTGTGACTTGGCATTAGCAGTTATGCTAAGGATGAACGTGACTACAGTAGGGCTATGTCTACACTGGCGGGTTCTTGGGCAACAACAGCTGTTCTTGCGCAAGAACTTATAGAGCGTCCACACTGCCCACCTGCTCTTAGGCAAGAAGAGCTACAGTAGAGTGTAGGTAGTCAGAGCTTCTTGTGCAAGAGCTATGCTCTTTTCTAACAATCATAAGCCCTCTTGCGCAATAGGGCAGTGTGGACGAGCGGCAGGGGTTTCTTGCACAAGAAAGCCCTATGGCTAAAATGGCCATCAGAGCTTTCTTGCGCAAGAGCATCCAAGGCAGTGTGGATGCTCTCTTGCGCAAAAGCACATGGCAGTGTGGATGTGTTCTTGTGCAATCTGATAGCTTTCTTTGATAGGATAACGAGTCTTGTGGATAAGGGAGAAGCGGTGGATGTGGTATACCTAG